CGAAGCTCTCTGTTGGAAGCTTCGAACTGCGCTAGTGCTGGAGTGTCTCAGTTGAATGGCTGGGGGTGTTCACATAGATATCCTTCCAGAAGGCTTCTACCTGATCATCGGTGGAGGCTCTTGAAATAAGCGAGAAGGTTTCTCGCAGAACCTAGGTTTTCTGCAATACTTCTCGCTCGAGAAGCCACTAGTGACTTCTTAGAAGCTACTAGTGACTTCTTAGAAGCCACTATCATTCGTCTCCTATCAAGGCAGTGCTGTTTGGTGGTTGGCAGTACGTCTTGACTCAAAGTGTGATGGATATATCGTAGTTTGCGGCTACTCGCCGCACACCGGGCGTGAAAGGCCTGTTGGTTGCTCTGTAATCCATCACACATTGGATACGAGACGCGTGTTGTCTCGACGACGTGATCTTAGCCTCCATCTTGTGAACACGCCATTCAATCTTCCGATCGGTCGACGCTATACACGGCGGTGTTGATTTGCCAGATGTCAGTCTCTTCTGTTAGAACACTTTGAACCTCCGCATTCAAACAAGCCAGTTCTTGTGGCTTCAGGGGCCTAATTCTGCGGAGCGCCCTGCGTGTTCTGACTCCACTGGTGGCATGATGCGAGTCTCCTCTCCAGCCGTGCCAACGGGTGCCAACGGGTGGTAGAACTGTCTCTTCTACCACTTCGTTAGCTGGCTGGGAAGGAGCTATACAGTCCTGTCGCCAAAGATAGGATACATAATCCCTAAGATTTTGGGCGGAAAGGCCGCATGCTCCGGATGTGTTTCACACCACAGAGCATGCATTGTCGCCATGTACCCTTCTCACGTGGGTTCACTACTCTCGTAGCAATGCATAAAGCTATCTCTCAGCTCATGCGTCCACTTAAAGCATCCGTTGTCAGTGCTAGGGTTTTTATCGGTATAAAAATCATCGTTATGGGTCCCACCACCTTGCCTCTGACCCCTCAAAGCAGGTTGATTCTTCTTTGAAGTATGCGCTGGTCACACCCTATCCCCCGGAGCCCCGATACATTCGGGAGGGCGCGCTAGCATAATCAATCAACGACCACTCCCCACACCGTGGGGTGAGTGATCATTGGGTCCGATAATCATGTGCTCTGAGCAAGCGCAGTGAGCCAAGAATGACAGCCTTCTGCATCTGTCCGGCTAAGATTTCAGCCTACGTGCGGCAGGACGGTATGACTTCAAGATTCGAGAGTAGAGAGGACTCCATTAATCAGAACAACCATCTTGACAGAGTAGTCTGGGTAGAGTCTGCTGAGTTGAAGAGTAAATCTCGATATTTTATTCGTTTTTCCTTCTCTTTTCGGACGATATTCGTCTCGCTATGAGCTAAATACTCCACGACAAATATCGTCTTGTTCTGGTGGTAGAAAAGGACTACATTAGGCTTAATAACTTGTATGAGCCTGAGGGTGGGGAACGAATATTTTCAATAAAATCGGCACTTCTCTTTTCCCACAACCGGTGTCTCGTCAATACCGTATGAGTGCCGTAGATGGTGATATAGTACTCTCAGGGCCGCGTTATGTCGATGGCCGAGACCGCATATGCTGGATATGCTGATGGCAAGTGCATTAGGGTCTCGGGCGCCTCGCAGCAGGCCCTGCACCTTGTGTCAGGAACCTCTATACCCATTACGCGACTGCGGTAGACTAAGGTGTTGAAGACACCATCCTGGCAAGCCATGATGGACCCCTCAGTTTCCGATTTCAGCCCACTCGACTTGAGGAAAGCGAAACTCAGGCGCTTTGATAAGCCAAGGTTTCCAAGAGATTATCATTATTATTGTTATTATTATTATGAATCATGGGAGTAGAAATCAATGTAATGGGCGTAAATAAGACTATAGGGGCAGGCAAGTGAAGCCTGAAGTGCGGTGAATGTTATCGGCGCCAAAGGCAGATCCGTACTTACGGATACAGTGTGTCCCAGCTGAAACTTGTCACCTGCCTAATAAACTTTCACCAAATACATCTCCCCCATCCCCATCTCCATCCCTCATCCCCAGTACCCCTTTCTTCAGAATTTTTAATGGGATTACTATACCTGTAATATATCATTTTGAAAGAAATTCAATCCCAAATACATCGGTGTACTGAAATTGAGGATCGATCAAGTGTTGTTGAAGTTTTAATCAAAACTATGTTTTATCAAGATATTTTTATTTTTCATCACCTAAAATGTAATCATTATATGAAAGGTTCAAAATGTGAACCATTCAGTTCCATACAGAAGTCTTCGCACATTAATTAACATTTCTGGAGACTGTACGACACTCCACAACAATTCTACTGCGTAGATCATCAACAGAATTATGATGTGTGATATAAACTTTGGATTTCAAATAACCCCATAAAAAGAAGTCTATCGGTGGTTAATCAGGAGCTTTAGCCGGCCATTCTGCTCAGTGAATTTGGACACTACTCCATACATAATTTCAAGAAAAAGTTGAAAACATATCTGAAGTCTTCTGGATAGATAATATATTCTTGTTATGCCTTGCTCATATGGTTTTCCCTTTTTTGTATGTTTTGCTATGGTTGAGTTGTAAAACAGCCTCAGCTGAACTTCGCCTTTTCATTGATTTTTGTATCTTCTTCTTCTTTATAAACAATGTATTTGAATGAATAAAGCCCGTTTATGATTATTATTATTATTCTATTGGTCTTCGTCTTGCAATCTATCTCCCTGTGAAATTGTCATCTAAAAATTGACGTACAGGTGCAATGAAATATGGAGGAGCTTCATCTTGTTGAAAGGTGAACAGACTTTCAAGTAGACTATTATCGTCTTCAAGTAACTGAGTGATTTTGGGATTCAGAGTGGTACCGAACATTAAATTTCTGGGGAGTTTGTGAATGAGTTTCTCTGTACCAATGGGGATTTTCGTCACTCCAGTATCTGCAGTTGTTTCTGTTCACATGTCTATTTAAATAAAAAAGAATTTCGTCACAAAACACACATTGTAGGGCTTATTATTATCACAAATCAATAATTGCCTCATGATTTCACAAAACTCTGTAAGTCTGTCAGGATCATCTGCATTTAATTCTTGTACATTCTGCATTTTATAGGGATGTTGTCCATCATTCAATGTTGTCCTTCACTGCATGTCCTACAACTTGAACAGCAACCCCTCCATTTCTCATAGGCTTCTCTCGTTCATGTTTTTTTCAGCAGTTATCTCAACTCCATTAACTTATTCAGAGCCGTAACTCTAGCACATTTTCGAAATACGCAGCTACAATGGATATTCTTTCTTGTATAGTATAAACCGTTTTCGAAAGTTTTCAAATTGTTGAATAAAGTGAATCGAATACACCAATATACCAAGACTCAAACACAGATATATTCATATAAAAACACATGACGACATTTTTTTTTCATGAAAACGTCTGTCTCACATTCTAAACTATTATTTCTGAAAGCATATTATTTTTCAATACAGTAGCGTACCCACAGTAAACCTTTCTTACGATCATAACATTTTAGGTGATGAAAAATGAAAATATCTCCATAAAACTTAGTTTTCATTAAAATGTTTCTAAATAATATTTTAATTTGAATGAACATGTGAACAGGCACAACTGTAGATACTCTAGTGATATAAATCCCCATTGGTTTAGGGAAACCCATTCACAAACTCCCCAGAAATTAAATGTTTGGGCTGGTATTCTGGGAGACTATATTATAGGTCCATATTTTATTGATGGTTATCTCAACGGACGAACGTATCTTGAACTTCTTGATACCAATGTGAACCCCAGAATCACTCAGTTACTTGAAGACGGTGATAGCCTTCTTGAAGGTCAACTCACCTTTCAGCAAGATGAAAATTTTACAGGGAGATGGATTAGAAGGTGAGGACCAATAGAATGGCCGGCTAAATCTCCTGATTTATCACCGTTTTACTTCTTTTTATGGAGTCATTTGATATCCAAAGTTTATATTACACAGCCAAATTCTGTTGATGCTCTACGTTGGAGAATTGTTGTGGAATGTTGTGCAGTGACTCCAGAAATGTTGAGAAATGCGAAGACATTTTGAAAATCGCCTATATTTCTGTATGGAACTGAATGGCTCACATTTTGAACCTTTCATATAATGATTATATTTTAGGCGATGAAAAATAAAAATATCATGATAAAATTAAGTTTTCATTAGAACTTCAACAACACTTGATTGATTCTCAATTTCAGTACACCGATGTATTTGGGATTGAATTCCCTTCAAAATGATCACAAGTATAGTAGTCCCATCGAAAATTCTGAAGTAGGGGGTGCTGCAGATAAGGGGGTTGACAACAAAATGATGATGTAATTTTTCACAATTTCGCAGATCAGAGGAGTGACAAGTTTTAGCTGGGACACACTGTATAGAGTCGTATAAATACTTATGGATTTGATGAATAGAATATTATGATTATTTCATTATCATAGATGGAGTCATCACTGTCATTTGCAATCCTCTCAAAAGATATATTTCATTGGAAATAAAAAATGAGGTTAAAATTTGGTCGACTACTGTTACTGTAAGTCACTGGAAACTAGAAAATTGGTTCTTCTATCGAATTTAGATTTTTCAGGTCTAGGATAAATAATAAATATATCTGGTGAACTAGAATATGGTTCATTTTCACATGGAATTTTTGTGTGAAATATTGACTAAAACATGAAAGGAATCCACAGTAGAAATTTGTCAATCATTTTGTCTCTTTACAATTTTTTCGAATGTTTAGTTGGAGAATGCCCATAGAAAACCATCATCTTTGTCGGCATCAAAGTTTTGTAATTCCAAATCCCACATGCAATAATATCCAGTTCAACAAGACGAGATGGACCCGCCTTAACCTAGACCTTGATTGAGAGCGAAAGTGGACCATATTAGAGCACACCTCCGGGCCATAACCGTTAAAATTATGAAATTTTGGATCACTATAAAAATCAATGAGCTCATTGAGAATTTATCAGTTTCTTTCGAACAAGATCAACATCAACTACAATGGCTTTTAAAGTAAGAATATTTTCAATTCGTGTTTTTGAAGTAGGTTTTGCATGTTCAACGCGAGCTAACTGAAAGTGTTTCAATGTTACGTGTTGTGGTTAATAATTACGTTACATGAAACAAACATGAATTATTTCATTCAATTGGTTGCTGAATGATTTTATAATAGTTTTTTCAATATAATTAACTTGTGAGAAAACTTGTACTAATCAAATTCCAATTTCATCCGTTTAGGTTATCTTCTCAAAAGCAAATTCACTTCTATTTCGAACTCGAATGAAGTTCAGCTATAAAAAGTGTTTCATAAAAATATGCTTATATTTGAGGAGGTGACTTTTGGGTCCATTTCGAGAATAAAAAGCATTGTAGGTAACATGTATCCTAAACTTGAACTGCAGAATGCTAACGTTTCAAACAAATCACCTTTATAATGAATTCATTATGACCTTGGGTATTCATATGAAAAATAGTACCCATCTTCTATGTGTCGAAACGCATTTACGGCATTTTTTACTTGCCAGTGAATAGATTTGCAATGAATCACTTCAAAGAGAAAGTTGATATGTTATTGCTCTTTCTTGAAGATATTGTTATTTCTCGAATCTTAATTTTTTGGGCGAATCTGATATTTTGACTTTTTTATTCATTTGCATGAAGCAGTTTCGATTATTAATTTATTGAGGAGCAGTGGAGCTATTGTAGCTTGCATGTAAAACAATCCCGACGTTTCTCAAATACTATGTATATACATAAGAAAAAGAGTAGAAGAATCCATATTTGCAGGAAGTGGACATTTTCAACATCCGATATACCTAGTTTTTTGGAAGTGCAGTTCAATATTTCTCACCATCCGAATAATTATCCTGGATAATATTGTTTTTTGCGAGATTTCAGAACAAATTCTCACTGTAAGAAAAAACAGACAAGTATTATTCTCTCTAAAATAATTCAGTGTAAAATTCCGTAGAAACTTTTCCTAAAGGTTTCTTATAGAACAAATGGGATAGTGATAAACAATGAATGCTATGTGAGCGAAGCTTGTCAAAACTGACAGTTTATTATTATACCTTCAACTTTTCTTGAACATTAATTTCTACTTCAGTACTGAAAAAATCTATATATCTATAACAAATATCTCTCTATATAAGTGATTTCGCTATCATCAGAACTATTCCTTTTTTTATATTATTTTACATATATCTTTGAATACAGGTGCCATCGTCTGTCAAATCTAAGGAAAACTTGGTATCTTACTCACTATTTCTGAATCATTTGCTTCTACTGAAATTTTCAGGCAAAGGTATTCGTCATACGTCGCGATGACAATGCTGTGTATTCAATACCATTTCTAATACCTATAGATATTTTGTAATCCCTGTAAACTCTGTTCATAGTTTGGTTTCATACTATAGAACTTATTTCAATGCGTTGAAGTAATTTCTCTGATTCAAAGAAAGTCCTTGCTTATTTCCGATCTACTGCAGAACTTGAATTTATTTCGTGGGAAAGAAATGTTTTGGCTTTTTACTTCTCCATACTTATACTAAAAAATGTAGAAAAATCACAAAGGAAGGAAGAAAGCAATTGTAAAATTTCACTCACATGGAACACTTATCCTCAATGGCGGACATCGATGTTTCGGACTAAGACACTTGTCTTATTGCCTCCTCAGTATGAGTCTGAATAAGATTTCAAGATGAGGCACTCAATTGATTCATAACATTGTGACTTTACGAGTATGTCACGGATGAGTTGAATCTATTCATGTCACGATGATAGTACGTAATATCATTCATACGCTTATTTGATTCAATCCCGGACATAGACATAAGAACCAGTTGGACCTCATTAATCTTTAGCTCGCATAAGTTTCGACCTGAATTGTATTTTTTTTCAGAAAGGTCAATATTTATTTCATAATATATATTTATACTAGCTTTTAGCCGCGACTTCGCTCGCATTTATGCCATTAAATGAGTGTCAGTACAATATAAATGAATCAATATGAGAACTATATTTTAATGCTTGGCTGGGAATTTCAATTTTTAAAAATTATGACATACGATGAAGTTTCGAAAATTTAAAATATGTTCTATTGAATTGCAACAACAAATGTTAAAATATATTCCACTGGTGAGCACTGATGCTAGATGACGTTAAAGTAGCTAGATTTTGAGATTTTTTACAAACAGTTTTTTTTTAATGAAAAGTATCCTATATTACTTCTTATACCTCCAAGAACATGTGAACACAATTTCATGATGATCGGTTGGGTAGTTTTCGCATTTATAATATTAGTAGGGATTCAACAATAATTCAAATATGAGCCATCAAACATATGGTGAAATGACTCGTCACCTTTTTTATTTATTAGAAATTCCTTAATAAAATAGGTTGAAAGCTTTTTTCCCCTAGGAATCACCGATTTATTTCAACTATCCACGATAGTGGAGTAGGCATGATATGCATATATATGTGTATTATAAGTTATATTTTCAATTTGATAATAATTCCATTGTGTGGATACTGTAGTGGATTTTTGTGTTTGTGTCCTGAATATATAAATAGAAATAAATAATTACTCAATGGCGGCCATTTTGAACATTTATTGGGGGGTACATAATAGTTTTAGATTCAGTTCGAGGTGCTTCAAATAGACGAAGAAATGACTTTGTGTTCCATAAAAAACTTTCTGGAAGCTTTGAGTCGCCCTTTATATTGGAAATACTAAAAAAAGACTAAACTATCCCACCTAACCTAGTGCTTCAATTTTTTTTGCGAAAAACAGGAAAAGGTAATTATAATGGTTAAAACCCGTCGTTTAGCTTTTATAATCGATGAAAGAAACTTTTTAGCCAAAACATCCCGACAGATAATATTTATCCAAACTACATGTGAGAAAGCCTTTATTCATACGAGTCCTTTTGTAGAAACCTACAGCTTTGAAAGTAGTCCGACTCTGCCGCAATACCATCACTCCCAGAATTAAGTGTTTCTTAACAGTTTTATAGGGGTAAAGTAGTAGCTAAAATACGTTGAAATGCTTGTTACTTATACCAATTTATTTTATAGAACGACGCCATTTTAAATGATAGCGATCCGGGATACTGAAATTAGATGAGCTGAAAATATGAAATTCCGCATATATAGTGATATTTACAGCTGAAAAGTACTTAAATATCATAACATTATATTATATAGAATAAAGTGAGTTGAATCTGCGACTAGAAAATGAATAGGTCGACAAAGTGAATTTTTGTATAATTAATAATTTTACCGAAAACCTTTATAAATGAGCGGCGCGCTTAAATTTTGCTAATAATAGGCTATATATATGTGAATAAAATTTCATTTGCAGTAAAAATATCAATCTTCGAAACGCAAACAGTGTCTAACAGTTTTATGAGTGCAAAAGTGAAATTTTAAAATGGCTTCAACCTTTCTATTTGTTAGTTTTCAGTTGGTGACATATCTATTATATTTTCCTAGTGTCCAATACAAAATTACTTCTTGACTCTTCAAGAAAACATTCTCAACACTTTTTTATTTTATTGTTATCGTTTTTGGCTGTATTATATTTCATAACGCCTACTTGGAACAACTAAAAAACTCTTATAAAATTGTCTTCTGATTATTTTATAAGTATCGCTTAATAAGTTGCAAAGGTGCAGTAAGGAAAGTCTTTACAAAACTACTTTTTAAGAGTGTTAGACAAATTTTATAGTTACTGCCAAAATGTTTATAAAACTATATTGTAGTGTTTGTAAAAGGCCTTAAAAATATTGATAATAACTATAATGTTTTATAAAACGGTACCAATTTCCTATTTATAGCAGTTTTATAAACACATTGAAAACATTTCTGGGAGTAATGCAGTTTTATAATTTGTTTCTCCGAAACGTTTCTGCAACTATTATAAAATAAGAAATTGCTAGTTGGAATTGAGTTATATAGATAAAATTTTTGGAATCTTGAGATAAAATAGTTTTTGATGGTGCAGAANTTCTTGTAATTTCTCAATATACTGCTCAGATTCGAATTGTTGTACGATCAACAATAATTTTTTTTAGTTGAAACTATAAGTCTCAGAACGAGATTTTGATATTATGTTTTTCCACAGTTCGTCGTACTTACCACCCTATTGGCCTATGCCAACGCAGGTCTCATCGCCGCTCCTGCAGTAGCAACCTACTCCGCAGCTCCAGCAGTTAGCAGCTCTTATATCCACCAAGCATCCCCCGTAGCTGTCGCACATGCTGCTCCCGTTGTATCCACCTATGCCGCCTCTCCTGTAGCCATCCACGCCCCAGCTTACGGAGCCACTCACCAAAGCGTAGAACGTTCTCTTGGAGGTGCTCAATCTGTCTCTCACTACTCCAAAGCCGTTGACAGCGCTTTCTCCAGCGTCAGGAAATACGACACACGTATCACCAACGATGCCCTTTCTGTAGCTCACGCTCCAGTTGTTTCTGCTTACTCTGCTGCCCCAGTCTATGCTAAAGCTGTTGCTCCCGCAGTTGCATACTCTGCTGCCCCATCGTTCAGCTCCTCATACATCCAGAAGGCTGCCCCTCTTGCCTACGCTTCATATGCTCACGCTGCTCCTGTAGCTACCTATGCCCACGCTGCTCCTGTAGCTACCTATGCCCACGCTGCTCCTGTAGCTACCTACGCCGCACATGCTGCTCCTGTTGCTGCATATGCTGCTCATGCTGCTCCTGTTGCTGCCTACTCTGCTGGTCCAGTCGTAGCTAAGGCTGCCGTAGCTTACTCTCCAGCAGCTGTAGTTTCTCATATGACCTTCAACGGTCTTGGAACTGCTTATCAATGGTAATTTAAATAATCCTGGTGCCCCTTTGTAAATATTTACATATTTTTATTTATTGATGTGAAATAAATGTTTCTGGTTGAATGTATTTCCATTATTATGACTGTTATATAGGTGATAGAAAGGAAAAAATAAGAAATCCCTCATTCATATATTTGCATTAATTTTTTTTAAGAATAAGCATAAAAATCATCACACAAACTTATCGAAGAAAAGTGGCTCAACTCGTGGGCTCCCCACATGGTATCTTTGATTTTGAATAGTTTTCCGATTGGCAAGTACAGGTTATAGGTATAGTGAATTCGCTATCAAAGTGAAAAATGTATTCACCATTTCTTCAGTTCATGCACTATTTTGTCGTTTTCATTCATGAATGTGGATGAAATTTTAAGTGGTGAAAATAGCCATAAGACAAATGAAAATAAAAATGAAGTCATAACTCACTGTGCGAAATTTAAAATAGGCATCAGTCATCAAACGATAGTATTATAAATCTTCATTTTTTTCATTTCTCCTAAACCAGTGTTCCTCTTTGTGGATGATTTCAGCTTGAGATATATTTATATTCAAATAAGGTTGATCCGTGAGCAATTGGTCTGGTAAGCAGTTGGTATGAAATCTAAGTTAGCTCAAAATGATTTGCTCTTTATCACTTTGAAGTTTTTTAAACAAGAGAAAAATATTTAGTCTTTGAAAGTAATACACTTTTAGATGCGTTCAAACCAATTCTCGAAACAATTTTTCCCCTCTGAAGTTGATATATTAAAACATGATTATGGAAAGTTTCAACGGTATCTTGAAGTGATGAAAATTGCTGTCGACGTATTATTCGACATGGAGGAATAGAAAAAAAATTATGCAATGAATCTGAAGAATACGGACAAATATGATATGAAATATGAATATAAAATAAGACAGTCACATACAATAATTTTGAAATGAATGGAAAGCGAATACAAGTTTTAGGTTGTTTTTTCGATTATAAATCTTTATAATATAATAATGAATCTTCATTATCCGTTGGCAGTTACATGTATGGGAATTGTCAGCAAAATATGCAGTATTGAGTTTCGCAAATGGAATATACATGGATTGTTCACTTCTAGTATTATAACCATGAGTATAAATTGGGAGGGTATGTTTTAAGGAGAGATTAATATTTTATCAAAATAGAAAAGTAGAAAGCCAAAACCTTCCTTCCCTAAAAATCATAAATATCTTCATTCAATTGGAAAAAAGACCTATTTTTGAGAATATGAACAGCAATATGGAATACATGGAAGAGGTAAAATTCGGTAGGTTTTGAAAATAGGTTTGCACGAGTCCGAAAATGGAATATGTACCAATACGCAATATACGTTTTTGACAACCAAGCATTATCGCTTGATTTCCACTTCATATATGTCTACGTTTCTTACAATATTATTCACGATTTTTTCAGTTTCGTTTTCGAGTATTTTTTTTCACCAATTCATACGTCCTTTTTTTAAGCGTTCTCCAAGACTCCGCGGAATCCTTCTGACAATTATTTTTTTCTTGCCTACATGATCATGCATATTCGAATATATTGCAATCTATGATATACCGAGGAACGCTTCCATCGCACATGCCGATTGTCTTCAATAATTTTTTTCCAGATATCGATGTTTTTGATATCATAACCGTTTTTGGTTATGGTATCAAAACCAAAGTGGAACAAGGTAATTCTATATATTTTTGTCGAGTCAGGCCTTTCTTAAAATCGTAAAAGTCAACTAACGTATACTGTCACGAGTTGTTTTAGATTTCTAGGCTGTCAGTTGCTAAGTTTCCACTTATGCCATTGGTTCGAAGTTCAATAATGTCACATTCATGTTTCGTCTTCCAATGTTTTTTGTGAAGATATAAAAGACAACAACGTTTCTGTAACAGGTGACAGTAGAGTTTGAATTGGGTGAATGAAATCATTGAAGAATATCCATTTATATATTTGAACTCATGTATCGCTTGCAATTATACTCTACTGATGTGGATTCCTGTTAAACTCAAAGTTGTTTTCAAAATCAAATCAAATTATTTGTACAACTTCATTGTGTGGAGTTCAATGAAATTCGAAGAACCCATTTTGATCTTCATTTGTCCACAGATTGTCGTACTCACCACCCTTCTGGCCTACGCCAACGCAGGTCTCATCGCCGCCCCTGCAGTAGCCTACTCTGCAGCTCCTGCAGTGAGCAGCTCCTACATCCACCAAGCCACCCCAGTCGCATCCCATCTAGCTGTTGCACACGCCGCCCCCTTAGCCGTTGCACATGCCGCTCCCGTTGCAGTAGCCCACGCAGCCCCAGTAGAAATTCACGCACCAGCTTATGGATCCACTCACCAGAGCGTAGAACGTTCTCTTGGAGGTGCTCAATCTGTCTCTCACTACTCCAAAGCCGTTGACAGCGCTTTCTCCAGCGTCAGGAAATACGACACACGTATCACCAACGATGCCCTTTCTGTAGCTCACGCTCCAGTTGTTTCTGCTTACTCTGCTGCCCCAGTCTATGCTAAAGCTGTTGCTCCCGCAGTTGCATACTCTGCTGCCCCATCGTTCAGCTCCTCATACATCCAGAAGGCTGCCCCTCTTGCCTACGCTTCATATGCTCACGCTGCTCCTGTAGCTACCTATGCCCACGCTGCTCCTGTAGCTACCTATGCCCACGCTGCTCCTGTAGCTACCTATGCCCACGCTGCTCCTGTAGCTACCTATGCCCACGCTGCTCCTGTAGCTANCATATTGGAAATAATAGAAAGGCCAATTGTAAAATTAATTTAGGGTGGTACACTTGTATGGGTGGTATTACTGATTACCTACCTGTATGATGTACCTGATTAGTATAAGTAGCTTTAGTTTTGAGTAGTTATTAGTTTTATCTTCCTCTTGAAGATGATCACTTGGTGATCGAAACACGTGTCGAGGTGTAAAAATAACGATTTGGTGTTGGGAAAAAACTCCAGTAATATTCAATTTATATTATATTAGACAATGGAAGTCCGAACTGATGAAATAATAATAAAATGCCCATTGAACGTCTTAATGTACGAGAAAAAAATGAAATAATGAGGTAATTGGATGATGCTGCAGAAAAGTTGCTCAAGGATTCAACAGAAGACATCCACAAGGAAATCGTATTCGACATGGAACGGCAGCCTACGTGAAAAAACTTTTCACTTAAACCGGAAGTGTAATAAAAAAGCATCCAGCTATTGACAATCCACATCGAAATCGAAAGTATCATGATAATGATAATGTCTCAACTTCAATTCGTGCCAATCCAATGCGTGAAAGGTCTGAGCAATTAAATTTGAATGGAGGGAAAATCAGAAGATGTCTCGTTTCTCATACATTTAAAACTTTTGAACCAAAGCTCTTATACGTATTGAAATATGACAAATGTAAACGCCAAGATCACTGCTGTTGGGCCCAAAGAAGATTTCTAAGTGATAAAAATCCCGTTAGAAAAATTTTGTTCCCTGCGTTCACTACCAATAATGAATATTATGTTTTTCATTCTTATTCCTACATTATAACAAATTTATTATTTTCGTAGCAACGCAGTAGGCTGGGTTTGAGGCTGTCACTCGGGCTGAGTATTGTGAAAAATGTTGCCTATAAAGGTCTATGCCTATACCAAAAATCAATTGTCTGCTTTCAAAACGACCAAAATATAGGGGTGTCTTCATCTTAAGTGTGTTATACTGTAGCAACTTTAGAAAACTCAAAAGTTATAGGTAATTCATTTTAAATCGTTTCCTCAGAAAAAAACTCATCACTTCTCTATTTTGAAACTTTCTACTCTGTTTGAAAACACGAAATCGGTTTTTCATATTTGGTGAATACATTTTCCTTAAAATTATTTACCTATATCATGAAATGTCACGCAAATAGAAAATAATAAAAACTTTTTGCCTAGGTCCTAGTTCAATTATGAAATAAGCAATTGCAATTTAGGAGCAATTTTAGTTTTTTCGTTTCAACTTAAAAAAAACTATAACTTAAAAATGGGTCGATATAAAATATCAGACTTTATATATTTCTCATTGTATTTATGCCATTTACCACCAAAATTTGATATGTTCAGGTTCGAAAATTGGTGGGTTGATTCCATATGAAATGACCACCGGGATCTTTTCACTATACTTATTCCACTAATTCCGTTTTCTGTACTAGTTTATACAGATCCTTTGTTGTTATGTTCTTCTGAACTACACTGAGATATAATTTCCTTGAAGTAGATGTGAAAGATGAATTATTTCGTGTATGAATCAGCTATCGATTGACATCTTGCTCACAAATCATTTTTTTCGTTGTCGGTTATTCCTGAGGTTTCTCAGCCCCACTACAGAGACAAACTATTCCTGCTTTCCTGTTCAACAATGCCCTGAGTGTGGCGTAGCTGTCTGTGGAACATCGATCCGCTCATTTTGTTGCAAGATCATGGACCCTTTCGCCTAAAATGTTTTCGTTGAATTAACTGAGTCGTTGAATATTGAAAGTTTTTGCAAATTGTGAATACTCATTCCTCTGAACTCGTAACTACTAAGATGTAAGTAAACTGCAACATACTCCTAATGGAAATACGACACATTTGAGATGAATCACTTATTCGACAAATTGTATGACCTGGTATAACCTAGAGCTCCAGTTTTCACAACATTTGAATGTTGTAAATAACAGGAAAGAGTGGTCAGCTATAGATATACCTTATGAAGTGACCATTAGTGGTGGAATATTCGAGGAAAATTCCAGTAAAAAGTAAGTAACACCAATCTATAATACGATTAGTCCAGTACTCAACGTACTTGTCTTTGGCTGGTTATTATTTATTTTCTGTTGTGCAGTAACAGCAAAACCCTGTAATGATATTCTTGTTTGAAGAAGTTACTTTATGAATGAAAAAACTGTCGAATTGATACGTTTTTGCTACTTGAACCGTTCTCGTTTGACTTTTTTTGCGGATGACATGAAAATGACAGCACGTTTCATCAGCTCTGTCTTTCGTACAATTATTATGACATCATGATGATTATTTATTGAATAGTACATTGAAATATAAATTAAAAACTAAATTTTGGTTAATAAGATATTTGGTGAGCAGCGACAGTTGATAAAAGTTTATAGGTATTTTTCAATGAAAAATTGATTTTCAATTTCAACAGTGGCATAAGTACGAGAATTGACTTCGATATTTCTGAAGGAAAAAATGATTCGCCTATAGTTTCTCCTCAAATAAAATTTATTTTTGAAGTCTTTGTTCAATTTGGGATTGGAAAGTTTATTATACAACTGTCAAAACATCTTGACATTTCTACATTACTATTGATGCGTGAATGTTTACTTTTTTCACCGTGAAAAATAGCTATTTATGATATGAGTGTTAGAAGTAAGGTTTTATTTTGTGGGTGAAAAAGCTTGCGAAACGAGCATAGCCAGATAAGCAATTTCACTTAAAAATAAAACTTACTTTTTACACAAATATCATATAAGGTTTTTTGTACAACTGTCCTGTTTCCATTATAAAATAATGAATTTAATATTTCTATAAAAACACATTTTGACATCTATTGATTGACATCTATATATTCGACATCTAACTATTTTCATGTTATGTCATTTGCAATGAAGTGTCCGTGTCGGGTGACGCCGAATCACCTGGTTACCAACAAACAGTATTGTTTAAACTCACATTTGAAGTTCTTGCTGGTGTTCAATGTCTTGCATAATGAAGAACAATAGTGAGGAGTTGTGTATTCCTTATGATATCGACGAGGCTGTTTGCTACCAAAAAAATCGGCTCAGCAGTACGATATCGCATATTCTAATTTTCTTAGCTGGTATAGACTTAAAAACTTCAAAGAAAATTTCAGAAAACCGTCTTATTAGCCTATCTAGAAGACTTATCGAAAATATGGAACTCGTCAACTTCATGGAGGAAGTTTCCAATGATAAAGTCAAGCGCGCCCGTTAGAAATGGTGTTACAACCAAATATTTCAAGGTAGTAGCATTCTTGAAGCGGAAAAATGAAAGTTATAGGCCGAAAAAATCAAAAACTCTTACGCTTGAACAAGTCCAGAGTTTTATAAATGAGGGGCCAGATGAAAAATATTTGATGATAGAATATTTTTCGGAATATATGGAGTTTGCCGGCGTGAAGAGCTGTGCCATTTATTGAAAAAAAACATTGAATTGATGGATGAATCATTGATTGTTCAAATTCCAAATACGAAAACGAAAATAGGTCGTTCTGTTTGCATTGTTAGAAAAAACATTGACTATTTTAATAAATTACGTCCCTTCTGTTATCAATCATCAACGTTTTTTCTGAAATACTCAAATTGCAAATACAGTGCCAACGCAGTTGGTATAAACACGTTTATGAAAATGTCTTCTGTCATTGCTGAGTTTCTGAACCTTCCGGAACCAAACGAATATACAGAGTCAATTATCAATTGATTATTCATCATGAAACAATTTCATTCATTGAAATAATAATTGATAGTAAAGTTTGAACAATTACTTCCAACATAAACTCACGAGGATGTTCCATGTTGCTGATGATCAGAAACGTTAGATATTTCTGAAGAGTTGATTCCACCATTTTAACAGATATTTTAATTTGTTTGAAAGAAAATGGAAAATTCAATATTTTGTTAGGAATCTCAATTTTTTTATTCAAACAATTTTTCATATATGCTTCTGCTACGAAGGCAAATTTCCAGCCACCGAGACGTTTGTTGGATGTAATGTTGCCCCCTGCATTGGCTGCTTCTCAAAAGCTTGGAACACTGTTCCGAACCAGAAAACTGTTCACACCTCAGCAACTTTTGATGCTTTATAAAGCTCAGATCTTTGGGGTATTGTTCATGTATGGTGCTATGTCCCCAAACATACACTGAAGCTTACAAAATGGTTCAGGCTTTCACTGCTGAGGTTTTCAGTGTCATTGCTTTTCGAGTTTGAAAGCCGTGGATTTTTGGAGTTTCTTCCTGACATTTCGCTGGCGCGAGTGGCTAGCTTCTTCAGAGGTTCAACCATCATGGCTTGCTGTCCGATGACTACCTTTTAGGTTTCGTGAAGCGTATTTATGCCTTGTCAGGTATTCCGTTGTATTCGTACCTGCATTTGTATCTGTATTTGTACCTGCATTTGTACTTGTATTCGTACCTGCACTTGAACCTGGAACATTAACAATCTTGCTGCCTATTGTCCTGTTAGTTATTCTCGAATTCCTTAAAATGGGGTTCCATATTTGATTGAGGTTCACCACTTCCTCTTTTCTGTTAAAATTATCCGTGTGTTTGTGGATCTCTATTGCCTCCCGTACCAGTCGGCTATAGTATCCCTGGTTGGGGGCAATTAGTTCTGTGTTTTCCATTCCATTCGATCTCAGGGTCACTTGAGATCGAATGGATACAGTGCCTCTGAGATCAGAAAAGCCATGAGACTGAAGGATACCACTATTCAGAAAGCAAAAAAGGATCGGATGGTTGCATGCGCATATCTACCGTTTATCCCTAGGGTCACGGATAGAATCGGAAAACTATTTAGCAAACACGACATCGGAACAGTCTTCAAACCCACGAGAAAGATACAACAAAGCCTCAGGTCGGCTAAAGACAAAAGAGACCCATTATCAGCGGCAGATGTCTATCGCATACCGTGCACTGGTGGAAAGGTATATATCGGAAGCACCAAACGATCCATGAGAACAAGACTAAAAGAGCATAAAAGGAACTGCAGACTAGGCCAAACAGACAAGTCAGCTGTGGCAGAACACGCACTGAGTGAAGGAGACCATAGAATCTTGTTTGAAAACACAGAACTAATTGCCCCCAACCAGGGATACCATAGCCGACTGGTACGGGAGGCAATAGAGATCCACTAGCACACGGATAATTTTAACAGAAAAGAGGAAGCGGTGAACCTCAATCAAATATGGAACCCCATTTTAAGGAATTCGTGAATAACGAACAGGACAACAGGCAGCAAGATTGTTAATGTTCCAGGTTCGAATGCAGGTACGAATACAAGTACAAATGCAGGTACAAATACAGGTACAAATGCAGGTACAAATACAACGGATCACCTGACAAGGCATAAATTCGTTTTACGAAGCCTAAAAGGTAGTCATCGGATAGCAAGCCATGATGGTTAAACCTCTGAAGAAACTAGCCACTCAAGCCAGCGAAACGTCAGGAAGAAATTCCAACACTGAAGCTGTTGGATTCCATCCAGGAAAGAGCCATCCGCCTGACTGGAGACGCGAGCATCACGTACAACCTTGATAGCCTTGAACATCGAAGAAAAGTTGGAGATTTGTCTCTCTTCTATAGATACTTTCACGGAAAGTATTCAAGTGACTTGACACATTTGATTCCATCAAGAGCGGTACATATCAGACGGACTGTAGCTGCCCAATGTTTTGAGGTTCAATTTAGTACACCTTGAACTTCACTAAAAATACAACTTTTACGTCGGTGTTTTCCTTATATCAAGCTTCGTTTTCGAGAAAATAAATCACTTCTGAAAACTATCCATGGACAACATAAAATAAAAACCAAAAGTAAATAATAAACAATTTCGACCTTGAAGTAAATGAGCAATATGTCAACCTTCTGATAAAATACACGACTGCAATAGATTTGTCATTGATTGTCTGACACGTTCAAAAATACCTGGGGTATTCCTTATGACATTGCAATTGTCAATTATACGATTCCTCAAGTCATCCACATCTAGTATAGGAGTTTCGTCAACAAGAGCCTTCAGATGTCCCCATTGATAGAAATCTAGAGGATTCATTTCAGGACTGCGAACAGGTCAATTTTGAGGTCCTGCACGTCCAATCCAGTGATTAGGGTAGGTGATGTCGAGATACTGACGAGCAAGAACACTGAAATGAGCTGGAGCCCCGTCGGGCATGAACCACATGTTGCCTTATACGAGAATTAAATGATTGGAACGAGAAAATAACTTTTTAAAAAGAATTTATTTTACAAACTAGAGACGACTGTCTCTTACGAGAGCTACAAACAGAATGATAAATTAATATAATGTTAACTGGATGCTAACTGCATGTCGAGATAAGGGATTCCTGGAATATCTCTTACTCAGCTGAATCTCCGTGTGAATGGCCGTGTCGTGGGAACTATGACCACGTAACTCGAGTCTTCTTCTAACAAAATGGGTAAATTACTTCGCGAAAAGTCCGTGTAGGATTCATTTGTTGATCTTGCTGATAGCAAAAATGAGCCAATCAGGTAGTCACCAATTATTCCTACCCAAACGTTCAGCCAAAAAACTGTCATTATGAAACTTCATAATCGCATCTCGTGAAAAATTTGCTTTCTCCGTAAATAAAATATTTGGTAAAAATTCATTATTGAGTGCCATAGTATGAATCAACCACCTGCAAAACATTAATCTCGGGTGAAATTTCCGAGGCAGTAGACCTTGGACCTGCTTTATGTTATATGAGTATAGGAGGTTTCTTTTCAGTACTGGTCATACGGTTCTTGGACCGACTTTCAGCTGCAGTGTAATCTTCCTGGTACTATTCGAAGGATCTTTTTTTATCGCATCCCAGTTTCACATAATCTTGGATGTAGCGTTTCAAATTTTTTAGCATATGAAATTACTCAATGAATATTACTGGAGTTTTTTCCCAACACCAAATCGTTATTTTTACACCTAATGATCACCAAGTGATCATCTTCAAGAGGAAGATAAAACAGTTTTATCTTTCTCTTGAAGATGATCACTTGGTGATCGAAACACGTGTCGAGGTGTTGGAAAAAAACTCCAGTAATATTCATTACTACACCAAAGGTTCCAAACAGTACATCATAAGTATGAAATTACTCTGTTAAGATATCTGTCCTGGAAAATTATCCGTGCTACTTCCGCATTTCCAGTTGCTAATAAAGTACATGTCTGCCATTTCAGCGTTAGTAAAATTATTCATGATGAAATCACTGATATGAGAACACTAGTGTGAGAGCACTACAACACTACAGCAATTTTTTTTCCGATCGTGAATTACCTAATCAGCTTTTTTTTATGTGCTTCATCGTCGATTCAGGATCAATGAAAAAGTATTTGAGAAGAGGAGAACTAAAAAACGTTTTGACATTTTAGCCTACTTTGAGGTGAATCCAAATAATTCCATCAGATATTTATCTAGAGAAATAGATGTGCCTCCGTCTGTTATTGAACGAATTCCGAAGAAACATGAGAGTTCTCCCTATAAGTTAAGACCAGTGCAAGCATTAGAACCTCAAGACCCTGAGAGACGATTTAGGTTTTGTCGGTGGTTTATGAATAAATGCAAACAAGATCCAAACTTCTATAGAAAAATTCTATGGAGCGATGTGGCTAATTTTTCAAATTGTGCTATGTATAGTAGAAATAATTTTCATTATTGAAGTAGACATAATCCATTTCTAGTCCATACCCAGAAGCCGCAAAGACGATTTAGTATTAATATTTGGTGTGGTCTATTTAGAGGCAAAATTATCGGTCCACTTTTCCATCCAGGGTCTTTGAACGGACGCCGTTACATTAATTTATCAACAAGAGTGTTGGAAGAGTTTTTCGATGATCTTGATCTGGAGGCTCGTCAGATGATCTACTTTCAGCAGGATGGAGCACCAGCACATAATTTCAGTGGCGTAAAAAGAATGTTGCGAGAATGTTTTAGAAGTGGCGTTCACCAGAAATGACACCTCTAGATTTTTATTTTTGGGAATATATGAAAAATTAGATGTACAAAATGGAACATAATAATGAAGATGAACTGTCAAGAGCAACACGTAGTGTCAAGAGAAGGACTCAAATATGTATTCATTTTATGTGACCAAATTAAAGAATTTTTTTTTACTAGTGAAAGAAAGAAATATTTCCACATGAGCTTTGTTGTTGAGAATGTTATTACGAATCGAAGTGCATTAAAAAATATATTTTATTACATTTTCGACATCGAAATACTACAAGTTTGTCCATTTAACCGAATTCGTAGCATCAATAATAACGGAGTTGGCAATGGTGCCGACTTATTTTGGAAAACCCTGTATATATTGAGCTGTTTTTTCTGGTTTCACTCTGTGTTTCGTGTTTTTCATCCGCATAAGTTATCTGTTCAAAAAATTTAATATCATTCCTCTAGCTTAAATTGGCTGAGAGTGGTATTCAAGACTCCGTGTTACTTCGCATGACAGCAAATAATATTATTGAGTAGGACTAGCCATATTTTAGTGAAGTATATTTCACTCAAAACGTTTTTATGTCAATTTTTGGCGATTTCTTGCGAAAAAAATCACGTGATATTTGCTGAGATCACTTCTCTCCCCACGTGAGATTGAATTCGGAACGGCCCCTATACCCTTAAACGCCTCACGTAATTCACACACTTTTAATATGTGTCATTGATTTGTTTACTTTGTGGTTATTCATGATCACTTCAATGAAAAGAATAAAAACTTTTTTGTCTAATTACCACAAGTCAATTTTATTTATACGACCGGTTTCGGGCTTAACCCCATTATCAAGTATAAAGCTGAAATGAGAAATTTGAAAAACTTGGTTATCTCGGGAGTTTTTAGATAAGATAGGACAAGTAATTGAAGGAACCATGGTGCCAACTTTAAAATTCCACACTGAAAATTGTAGGGGTTGCTAAACCTACAAATTCAAGAGTGGAGACCTACATAAATCGAGTTGCTTGTTAAGGGGTATATATTTCTGGTATTTAATTGATTTGTTAATTTGAATGGTTTCTAACAAATTCATTTTTCCCTTTATTTCATATGTGTAGGATTTTGAGTTTATCTTTACTTATCTTGTGTTTTGATTCTTGAAGATGTTCATACATTGTAGATTTTTTGTCCATAAAGACGTGTTCACGGAGCTTTACGTCAAAATTTCTACCTGTTTGGCCTGTATATACTGCAGAGCATTCGCCACACTCTTTTCTATATATACTTGATTTTTTCATTCTCGTTTTGGTTTTGCATTGAACAGAATTCTCCCTAATTTATCATTACTTATGGAAGCTGTTGTTATTTTGATAAATTATGTGAACAAAACAAGGAGCCCAACTTCTTATATTTGAATATTGCAAGAGCCGATAATGCTTTTCAATTCAATATCTACCGGAAAAACACATTCACAGACTATACAATTCCTTTTGACTCTTTCAGTCCACTATTACATAAGTTATCCGCGTTTAGTTCAATCCTTTTACCTGAAAAAAATTTCCAAGATGAACTAAAAATAATTAAGAAAATTGCAGTAAACAATCAAGTACCAGTTTCTCTAATGGACAAGATAATATCAGGTAAAACTCAGAAAACACTTATAAGTAAATTATACCCAAACTGCAGACAATACAATATAATATATATAGCATCAACTACTCAAGTAAACTTTCAGAAAATATTCAAAATTACTTCTCTAAATACAAAATAACAACAGCTTTCATGAGTGATAATAATTTGGGCTGAACTCTGTTTGATGCAAAACCCAAACAAGATAGAATTAAAAAATCAGGTATTAGTCTAGTTCACATGTACTTTTTTTTGTAACATTTTTCAGCCATGTCCAAAAATTACGACCAAGGTGTCATTCGATTCGTATTTTTGCCTAGAAAGTTTAAGGAAAGGTCCGAAAACGCGCCGATAAAAATTACAAAAGTTATAAACAATTAAGT